ATATCAATAATGTAACCTACATCCTTGTGCAAGTCAAAAACTGGAGACATACACCATCACAACATCAAGTCCAAGAAGCTTCAAGAATGAAACTCTCACCTGAATTTGCTGGGATTACCAATAAGAAATGCACAGCACATATTGTGGAAGATATTGGTATTTTACCAGAAGTTGACCAACTGTGTAAATTGGTTTTGTCAGAACCCAATTTATTGAAACATCCAGCTGATAACGTGGAAATTTCCTTGAAAAAAGCCAAAATTGGCAGAAAAAAACGCTATCCATCAGATACATCAGTTTCTTCTGTGATACGTCAGACTTTCCAAGTATCATTAGCTGTTTATGGTCTTAGAAAAGAGGTGTATGCTTGTTTCGATCATTTCACACCCATTGAGACCCAAACACACGTTTTAATGTTTTTGAGAAAGCTCTTGGTTGCCTGGCCTGATGCAGCTGAGCTTGAGGATGATAGTAATAGTAAACGTGTACAACGTGTGCAACCATTAGTATATGCAATCAATAATAGTGACGATAGTGTTTTGTAGCTGTTATTATGATAAGAAATTCTTCATAATAAAGATGAGGTTATATTTGCAATATTCTGATATCAACTTTAATTTTGAATGACTTCTGGAATAGTATTTTGAGATTTTAGAGTGACATGGTTCTGTTAACCACTCGAATTGCTTTTCTCATTTTAGATAAAAGATTGAAATACTCACACTAACAAGAATAAATTTACAAGTCATAATTATACATATAGAATTACCCGTATATGAAAAATTCTAATTATAACGGCTCAACTGAATATGAAAAAGCCATGCGTTTCTAGGGCTCGAAATGATTCCAAGAGAGGAGTTTGCCGAATTACGTGAGGCGTTTCAAGCACTCTCTAGATGTATTTTTAATGGCCCAGCTGAAAGTAATGAATGGTGGCGAAATAACTGCCAGTCGACGTCTTAAAAAGAAAATGCGTACTAATAAGCGAACGTTTTATTACTGAGATCGCAATAGGCCCCTCTGTCAGAAAACGTATATTAATACGTTAGGAATTGGCCGCACGCGCTTCGAGAATACCCAGCAAGGGTGAATGGTATAATTCCACGCGTTCATGGTAATGTAAAAAGAGTGCTGCGATGAAAAACCAAAATAACCATTGATATAACCGTTGCTACTACCGTGAAGAACTTTCTCGAAAATTATGCTGAAATACATGGATTACCAGGTCCCGGTAGAAATGTAAACCGAATTACTCAATCGCTTACACTATTACCAGCTAAAACGGTTACAAATCGATCTATCGTGATTTTATTGCAGGTCTTGAAAACGATAGCACATTGAAATTGTTAAAATATGATGCGTTTCGCAAGTTATGGTACCAATTGACGCCGCATATTCAAATCATGAATCCACGAACGGATTTATGCGACACGTGCCAACATGTTCGGAACGGCTTACAGTATAATGCTCGTAAGGAAGAAGCAAAAGACTAAAAAATTCAAAAAACATCTGGTTAAATATAAAGCTAAGTTAGAGAGAAATTATTACAACAAAATACAAAATTAGCAGAACAGCAGAGGAAATTAGTGGATGAGCATTTTATAGCAAGAGGTAAAGCTAATTATTGTAGCGTTGACGCTTCTGCTCATTATAGTTATAATTTAGCGCAAAACGTTCACGCACCCCATTCCGGTCAACAGGTAAGTAAGATTTATTATATCAGTCCACGTAAAGTGCATTTATTTGGTATCCAAGATGAAGCACTACGCGAGCAAATTAATTATGTTCTTGATAAAAACGAAATTATCGGCAAAGGTCCTAATGGTACGCTGAACCTGGTATTAGTATTCGATGGAATTAAAAGATTAAATAAAGGTGAAAAGCATTTAAAGATTACTTGTGATAATGCAGGAGGACAGAATAATTTAGTATTTGCTGTTATTATTATTATGAGAGTATCGAATTAAACTTTATGATACTAATTTTAAGTGTGATGGACAGTAGATTGCATAGATTATATTGTTAAAGATGTGAAAAAATCAAGCACAGCAGGATCACACAAAGCCCAGTGCTATGAAAATGACAAAGGCTTTCAATATTTAGATCTTAATTCCATGTTAGGAATTTCTTTAAAAATTAAGTGGCTTACAAAAATATCAGCATTTGGTATTCAAAGCAGCCCGAACCTGGAATTTTCAAAGCTCAGATGGTTGCTAATGGTGCTTATACTGAATTTAATATGTTAAAGCTAGAAAAGCAACTGTTTCTGAAATTACTAAAGGAATTAAATCCTTTCCATCCTAGTACTAACCTAATGAGTCAGTGATGGCGAAAAAAAAGGGCAGTCACATGATTAAGACTGCAGTATGATTGGGTCGTGTGCAAATCA